AAAAAGGGAAAACAGGCCACCGAAGCAAGAGTTAACCCTGCTTTCTTTTTCATTTTTCCTCCTGTGCTTCCTGAGAAACATACGGCAGCCACATTTACAGAGACACCGACCAGACAAGGAGGAGAGTATTGGGCAAGGCAAGTGAAGGGAATTGGGAGCACCCAGAAGAGCTGAAGTGACTGATCTGCCTGAAGAGTGAGCCTGTAGCCGCAGAAAGTGAAACATATGGTCGCTTGACAGATGCCGGCAATAGGTAGTTCTGCAAGTCCTGAGCTGTTACACCTTTCAAGAGTGTTTAGTAAATGGGATTGGGCTTTAAAAACACTAATCCTATCTAATGCGGATCATCCAGCCTGAGAGTGGTGCGTCTAACAATGGTGTCAGCTGGAAGGACCTGATGGAGAATGAAGTAGGAGGGAGGAAGTTAGGGTTTAGTAGGCATACACGACAACAGTGAAGTCCTCTTGATTCCAAATTACCATGAGTGGTTTGGGACCAATAGCTACCAGGCAAATAACAACCTTGACATGGAAACCTATGGGATGAAGTAGCTTTCTGATAAAATAATCCAAAGTTTTTGCAGACTCAACCTGAAGGATTAATTTTGAATACATTAAATTGGTCTATCCTTCCAGCTGGAATGAGATGGTTGATAGCAAGACACTGCAAAGCACATGTCCCTGTAGGTGAGTCTATGAGAGCCTTCACCATCACAACAACAGATCTCAGTGAACAACCAGGCTCCTTCTTCTGTGCCTATGTTTATGTGGTGCCTTAATAAAGAACACAAAGGGGTGGAGAATTGACTGTATACCCTTTTTTGAGGGCACAAAGGAATGAAATTGTTGCCAGTTGCCCTTCACTGGTGATTTTTTTGGGAAGGATAATAGCATTGATACTGTACACAACCCAGAAGTGATGAACCTGAGCAAGCATGCAGGCATTCCAACTCTCGGGACTTTAGAAAATAAAGAAATGTTTCCAGTGTACATCCACCAGGAGAATTTGTTTCCTCATTCTTGCTCTCTGGTGGATTACACAATGCACAGGGCTAGAGGGGAGTTTGTATTTCTGCAAATTCTACATCTCAGCTTCATCCATCCTGACAATGAAACTATTGGGAATGGGGGCTAGTTCCGACTTCCTTTGATATGGGACATTATGCTTTTTGAATCAAGATCGGTTAGGAGGCTAGATCACAAGAGTTCTCTATCTCCGCTGTATTCTCCAAGAACAATGAGACTTGACTGGCCATCTTGAGAGATTTAAGGTTGAATTTGCATAGCGATGCATGGGAGCTGAGTGCACAAAGCCTGTTATCTGGTAACTGTATCAAACACGACACACTTCTCTGAACACTCTGCAGTTGCCACTTGTTATGTGTGAAGATCAGCCCAGGATTTGCATTCTCTGCCTTGTTCTACCATCATCACAGATTTTATTTTATTGTTTACTACACTCTTAAGTGTCATGAGAGCCACGGACAGTTGCATGTTTCTCCCTTCTTCTCATCCTCATTGTGTAGACAGAGACATGTCAAAGATGTGCCTTTGTTTGGATAGACCCGTCACAAGGTGTAGCAAGAGTGACACTCTGTGCTTTCCCTTGCAGTAATTATTCTTCATTTGTGGACCTGCTGGTTTCTAGGATTGTCATTAACAATCAGCTGAATGCTCAATTACAGCTCAGGAGTTATGAGTGATAGCACTGCACACTGTTTCCAAGTTTACTCTCCTCACATCTCATTTCTACTCCCGCTGAGCACACACTTCCATATGTCCTTGAAGAGTGCTTGAAAAACCTTGTCAATAGCCTGCGATCACACTAGGCTGGGTCCCTCATCCGCGCTAGACATCTGCATGTAGCGGTACCTGGGACACAGATTAGGGTTTTAGCATGCTGATGTTTTATCAGTGCTAGAGGGATGTTAAAACAGTTCAGAAACTGAAGAATCAGAAGTAAAGTCACTTCCCTCATCCAAGAGCTGTGTCCACATGCACACACTTACAAATATTAGTGCATTATCTGTAAATGATCACTGTACTGTAGCTATATTTTATCTCATTTGCATTCTAGCAGTATGCCCTCTACTGCAAAGTTAATGAACTCCAGTTAACACATTCAATTCATTCTTAAAAGCGCTCTCAGTAACAGCCACCTAGCTACAACATACAAAAGCTTTGGCTCTATTGAATGGCTTCTTTCAAGGATTGGGAGCTCTCCATCTTTCAGAATGAAAATAAATATTCATTTTCAATAAGCAAACATGATGGTCTAGGAGGGGCTATGGTTTCACTGCCGATATAGCACCTCTGGTTATTTGAGCCACACTAGCCCTGGAATAAGCTTGCATGACACCTGCAAAGGACGGGGGAAAAGGTCCGAAGAAAAAAAATGCAAGAAAGATGGGGCTGGGGAAAACAGAAGGAAAAAATCTCAAAATCCCCCCCGCTCCTGCCAACATTGCCACAAAAATATTAAAGATGAAGCCAGACTTGGTGGATTGCTAGTGGGAAAATCTCCCAGGCACCCTCCGACCCATCCCTCACCCACTGCTGTTCTCACTTCCCCCAGTATTCCTGGCTGATAGGCTTAATTTGGCTAGTGAAAGGGTTAAGTTTAATTTATACTGATTTCTATTTAATATCATTCTCTCCCTGTAGGAGCCGGCAGCTGTGAGCTGATTGTACTCTCTCATTATGCAGTCTGTATCGCTAATGGCCTGTGACAAAGGCATGGCATCTTCCAGGCCTTACCCCCGAGAGCCAATTAAACACACATACTCCCTTCCTGTTTGCAGCACATTACAATGAAATTAAACCGAATTTCAGAATCATTTTCTCCTAAAGACATCTCTTTACAATAATTAATGCATGCTATTCTTTTGCATTTGAAATATTCATCAGGAGTGTTGACTAAAAATTTTTCTAAAGCTGATTGCCCTGCACTTTGCAGTGCCTGCTGACACCGTGTCATGAAACACCGCTGCTGGCATGATACCAAGATCAGTGGCAACACTTGCGGTGTCGCAGCTCCATCATTAAGTTTAAAAAAGTAAAGCTTTTCTTATGCAACACAAAATAAGCAAACGGGCCACAAAGAGGGCACCAGAAACTCAGCCCAGAGATGGCACAGCTGACATGCAGCCAGGGGGGAAATGGAAAAGCCAGTCCTAGTTATGTTTAAAGCCCTGGGCGAATACAAAATTTGTATCTGCATCCAATCCACAAAGACGGTCCACGGATATAAAACTGCTCCCTGCGGATCTGCAGTGCTCTAGTTGCGTTAGGGTTGGGTATATGGAAATTTAAACCCAACCCAAACAACCCTAGCTGGTTGGCCACCCACAAGATTATTGGTCAATCAGGCTGGATACAGAGAGGACAAACATAGTGTGTGGCTTTAGTCTATAATTCAAACAGCACATTGCCACTAATAGAGATAATGGGAACAGAGCAATACAGAGATACTACCTGGCCGATTTAACATGCCAAACACAACTTCACAAGGCGTCCTGCGGTGTCGTTGCACTGAGACTCACTTTGGGACCGGGCTATTTTCTTACCTACATTCAGAGTGCAGCTCCGTGGCACCAGGAATGCGGAGCTTTGGCTGTGCACATTCTGAGTTTATTCAAGGAAAAATCACTTCTTTTCTGTTCAGGAATTGTCAGCAGCTTCTCATTTTCTTGAATTTGTTACTGCACGTTAGTCGCCAACAGTTCTGGGAAATAATGCCTGATTGGGAGACTGGGCATGAGTGTTTGAAATTCAACCTGTGCTGGTTTGGGCTGAACCTAGACATTACATGGTTTTGTTCATCAGATTGCTGCTATCAGAGCCTGTTTTAGAGCAGGGGTTTCTGTTTCCTGCTCAGAAATAGTATACCATCATGGCAGGAATGGGACCTGCAAGCAAACTGTATTGGTGCCATTGGAGACACTAACTTGGTATCCAGAACAAAATGAATAGTAGACCTGGGTCTGAAACAGTTTTCCCGTCCAGTGAACATTGTTGAGATTTCAACATTTTTTCCTGTCCCAAATCAGGGAAAAAAGTCAAAATCTCAACAATTCTCATGAGCCAAAAATCCAAAACAAAAACCAAAAAATCATTTTGGGTCAATGAAAACGTTTTGTTTCAATTTTGACCAGTTTAAAAACTAATTATTTTTCTATAATTAGTTTAAATTTCCAAATAAAATGTTGTTGTGAACTAGAAAACTGGAATTTGTTTCGAAAACATCAAACCAAAACATTTCCACAATTCCAGATTTTTCTGAGTTTTGAATTTGCTGACACTGACCTTTCCCACGGCATTTTAAAGAGTTCACTGAAAAATTCGTGACCATGTCCTGCAGTCCTTATTACAGCATTTCCTGCATCTTCTTTGTTCTTCATTCTACAATCCATTGTTTTAAATACTCAGCTAGGTTTGCCATTGCTGATTATGTTGTAATTATGAAGGGCCCAACCCCACTGAAGTCAATGGAAGTTTTGCCACCATTTTCAATGGAAGTAGGATCAGTCCCCTATGAACAGTGCTAAGTAATTACTGTTTTTCAGGTTTCAATTCAATCGATGTATACATATTTATCAGCTTCTCAGGTTTGCAAGCATACAGACTAAAACTCTCTCTGTTGCTTAGGGGTGGGGCGTATTGACTGGTACGGGAATAGCTCTAGACAAGCTTCTATTTCTGAAGACAATCACAATCTGGGAGAGCCTGCCCACACCCAGACAACCAAGGACTCAGCCACATACTCCAAAAATGGAGTGATATGCCCACCCACCCACCACATTCTTCCTACAGCTGGGCACTGTGGCTGTGCCTTGCTTCCAGCCAGATGGGAGAGGGAGAAAAGATCTGCAGGGTGCCCCCTACTGAAACTGGTGTTGGCACTGTTCCATGAACCGGCCAGCAGGAAGACCCCTGTGGAACAAACCGACTTCCCCTCCCCTCCTGCTGTTCATGCACACCCCAGTGGGACCAGCACAGTACCTGTTTTGAACCAGCCGTCAGGTGTGAAAGCTTCTTTTGTTTCTTCAGGTCTATTCCAGTATTCTCGAAATACTGTAGGCCCCTTAACGAAAAGCTCCCCTTCTTTGCCATCTAAGCCGGGGGTCACCTAGAGCAAATGAAGAACAAATGCATTCTCCAAAGCAGTGACAAATATTCATACATCAATAGCGATAGCCACCTCAGATTTCCACCCCTAAGCTACAGCTTCCTCAGTGACAAGGCTCAGAGAGGCAGGGAGTGCCTTTGGAACTCCCTTTGATTGTGAGCCATGATGTTCTCAGTCCATCTGCTGTATCTCTTGCTTTAACTGAGAAGCAGAGAGAGGACAAAGTTCTAAGCTTAGTAAACACCTTCTAGCTCAGACGGGATTGATGTTTATGCATAGTTATTGATACACATGAATTGTCATACTGAAAACCCTCATCTAGCTAGTTTGGTACCCGAACCCTGACAGCAACCAATGGGAGCTTCTTCCAGAGACAGGGAGACACCTCCTTAATGCATCTGGCCAATTGTGAAACAACATCTCAGCAGGGAAATGACTTCCTGATGGAGATGACCGTACTTCTGATGCAGAAAGGCTGATGACCTTTGCATTTTTTACCATACCTAGATTTATATATTCAAGGGCCATATGGGACCACTGGGACCACCTAGTTTAAAGCAATTATTATTCTGTTCAGATCTTTTTCTGTTTTTTACTCGTTAAATTATTTGCCTCAATAACATGCTGCAGCAGCCAGTTTCATGGGCTATTTATGCTGTAAACCGAATTCAAAAATGGGTTTCCTCTTAGGTGTTTTACTTTTGCTACTCAGAAAGCCCAGGCCCCTGCTCTTCCCGCAGCAATACGGCTGAGTTGCCTGCATCACATAGGTGCCACATGTCTGAGAAGGGATAAGAATTTATGACCCTAACTCCTCACCACTAGTCCCACATTCCCTTCCTCTAACCTGAACAAAGAGCGTCTGACATGGATTAACTGTCTGCTCCACTACTGTGATGATTTCTAGGTTCAGAGACGTGACTGGAAGATGGATACCCTGTTCTGCTCTGACATACAGAGCTACATGGAAACATAAATACAGGAGGGATGAACAGTTACTTCAGGAGGTGGCAAACTTTATTCACAGTTCTCAGACTTTGTAAATTAAAATGCCAAATCTAAAGGTAATCCTCTCTCCTGGAAGAGAGGTTCGTATATATCTATTATAGATTTGTTCTCCTTAACTGTCCCCCAAGGAGGAAACGTGCTTAACACACATTCAGTAGTAGGATTCTTTCCCTGTTGGAGACTATTTGTATCTCTCTGGGCCAGCTGAGCTTGGCCCTCAATTCTCCAGCGGAGAGCAAGCTCTCTTGGCTTGACAAGCATTTTTCCTGCGATGCCTCTCACCTAGCATTACGGGCAGTCTCCTACACCATGCCATCAGTCGTGCCTTCTAACTTCTTGTGACCTGTGTTCATACATTTCCTTTTATCTAATGGTGCATCTGAAATGCCTGGCCCGGCCTTCCTTGCTGCGGGAGCCAGTCACAGAAGCAGTGCAGCAGCGTGAATGGTTTCTCTGGGACATAATTTGAGGAGCCCTTCGAGTGTGAGCATGACAGCTTCTCCCTGTCAGTGTGCTGCACAGCTGATCCATGTCTGCAGAGAAGTCTGTTCATTGAGTATGAATGTGGGGAGGGAGGTTCCTTGGCAAGAAGAAAAGGCTCTTGCTGCTTGTGTCACATTTCCTGCAAGGGCAGGTGTCATGCATTGCTCTCGAGCTACCCTTTCCGATGCCTCCAAGATCACCACGAGTGTGCACTGCAAAGACTCACACCCAACCTTCCGGAGTTGGCAAGGCAGTTCCTGTCTAGTATGGAGCCTTTGATGGGGGGAAATAAAGATGACAAGAGAAGATAGCCTGAGTTGGCCATTAGAGAGCTGTTGCCAACCAGTCTGTGTGTCTAGCAGTGACAGCAGCCAGCTTAGCTGGGATAATTTTGTGGGTTGGTGGATGGCTCAGCCTTTGAAATGACAGCTGCAGAGGACACCAGACACCAGCTGGGCCACTTGGCACTTCCAGCAACCTGTTGCCTGGCATGGGAAAAAAGCGAACTCCTGCCCTCCTGGGGAAGGCAGCAGAACCTTCTCTTTCGACCTGTCACGGGACGCTTGGCCGCGTCCTCCAAAAGACTGTAACCCTGGTATAATTAAGGTAACACCAGATCCAGAGAAATATATTCCAGGAGCACCCTGCAAAATACACCGTTGGATATGTCAGGTCAGAGCTGCTGACCGACTTGTGCGCTGGGAGAAAATAAAGCAAGACCAAAACCTAAGCTTTTCTGGTAAACGGCCAGGGGGGTCTTCACTTACTCAACCCTAGCCTGGATTGCCAGAGACAAAAAGGCATTACCGTCTGACAGCTGCTTGGTGAACGAGCTGATGGGTTTCATTTTAGTATCCACAGCACCAGCACCTCTATCACCATCGGCACAACTCTGTATCCAATTTCTTCAGAAAGGCCAGGAATGGAAACTGTACTCCACCACACTCCATTGGGGTCCCGCCAGGTCAGGTGTGAAGCACAATATTGGATGAGGGAAGGTAGCATGGGGGAAGCTTGCACTGCTGCCTGCTGTGTGGATAATTAAAAGACTTCACTTTGCAGAGCTCTCAGTGCGACACCTTTCATTTTTGTGAAATGGGACATGAGAAAATGAAACCCGATGTATTCGAGAGAGTGGCAGGTGTCCTTCCAGCTTCTCTAGAATGCAAAGGCTACAGAGACACCTCAGCATTCTTCAAACCCGCATCAGCAAGTTCTGAAGCTACGACTGTAAAATGATGATCCCATGAATCTGAAGAATCACAGGAAGTTCGCCAGACAAGACGGGACACTGGTCTGAGCCAGAATGGTAACGCAGCTGTCCCTAAAACGTATATAGCTCTATAACTGGGAGGATGCAGATGCATAAGAGACAACAAGTGCAGTGACAGAGGTTGTCGTGGGCTCTGCTCATATACAGCCTAATCCTGAGGATCCTCATCATGAACAGCCATAAAGGAAGTTTTTCAAATCACTTAGGTACTGTAGCTCTTGCAACACAGACAAGATACTGAAGTCAGTTCTCACGGGTGGGGCTGCTCTGATGCACCGAGGGCCCTGCCTCGCAGTGACTCCGTGGCTGCGGCTCCAAAAGGTGTGCTCCACAAACAGCGTTGGAGCTTTCTGGGCATTGTGCCCAAAGAAATAAAATACAGTCTGAAACCCGCAGCGTGCCAGGCTTAGCACCTCCACAAAACTGTCAAATGGTAACAAAGGTTTTCCACTTCAAAACACCAGAAAGACCTTTTCTTAACCACCTTTGGTAACTCATTTCCCTGGGAAAGCCCAGCTTAGAGGCCATGTGCAGTTTTCCAAGAAGGGCTCTCTTCACTCCATTTTCCTACTGGTAAAGTTGTGGCATCAGACGACAAAGCAAGTTGTTCAAAGTGATTCAGTGACTCAGCCCAGAGTAGAGCTCTTTTCACTTCAGTCACAGGCTCTAACCATTGGATAACACAGCTTCTTACAAATGATGCCAAAGAAGCAACACTTTGGCTTTAAAAATAATCATTTCTCAGCACACGTGCTCCAGTAAAACCAGTGTGAGTTTCAACTGGATCTAAGCACTTGAAGCTACATCTCAGCTAAAAATCTAAAAGACAGAATATATATTATCCCCCATGTACATGCATTTAATTAATGGTCTGAGCCCCTGAACTCAAGTCCTTCATCTGAAAGGTTGCCCCTCAGTTCCAGAAAGGTGGATACAGGAGACATTGAGAATGACTTTTGAACTCACTAGTAGCTGCATTTGGTTATTCTGCAGCTCCTACTTGATTTGATGTTTTCTTTTCTTAGATGTTGAAACAAAGATTGATGTAAATCAGGCAACAGCAACCTCTTTAGGCACAACCCGTCCAGCACTCTACAAAGAATAAGCTGTGCTGCATTGCAGTGCAGGAATGTGCCCGGGCTTTTTCACCTGTCCTTATAAAAGGTCTTTGCAGAACACTTGCCATGTCCCTAAAGGAAGGGAGGGCATGTATCTTTAGCTGCATGGGTGAAGAATCCAGCGTGGTATTTACCTGCACGCTGCTCCTCCTTGCATGAATCAAACCTTGAACAAGCTCCAAATTTCTTGTCATATCAACTCAAACTCTGGCAGAGGCTCAAGCCACATCTTATCTAGAGCAGAGCTCCTTGGCAGCAGGCACCTCCCTGTTGTGTAATTTAATGATGTTATGGCTGGCTTGCAAACAGTAAAACAGAAAGGCCGTGACGTTATCTTAATAGGATTTTGCTTGCTGAACTCGGAATGTCACTGGCACTGCTCCCCAGTGTCCAAAGAGGATGCAAACCACTTGAGTGCCGGCAGCTCATGTTGCTGGAAAACAGCATAAATTAAAATTCAGGGTTCAAGGCACTTATCAGTTACAATTGCTCACCTTCGACACAGGCTCAAATCACAGGCACACACCAAGCCGAACACTCTGCTACATGTTTCAAATTCCGGGCTTTCACCGCAGCATCATACAGCTAGCTAGCTAGCTCCTCACTCTGTCAAATCTCAAAGGTATCCTTTGTTGATACACTGGATCTAAGTTACACGCAGCTGCTGAAAGCATCAGATTGCTAATTGCATAGATATCCTATTCTCCAAGTGCCATATTTTAATGCACGTTTCAACTGCTTTGTATTCTAGCAACTTTAACATTCAGACAGCGTGCTCTAGAAGGCTGGCGTTTGATAGTTTTCCACTGTAAACCGGATTCAGCAAATTGAACTGGACCCGCCGACGCACTAGATAAGATTACATTTTCCACACATGAAAATAAAAGGTTGTAATAAATCCTCTGACAGAATAAATCAGGGTGATTATAAAATGCGTATTTTCAATGCTTCCATTTTACCTCTTCATTAGCCGGAAGCAACAGCGGCTTGTAAATAGGTGGGAGTTCCCACTTGACAAGTAGCCCTTTGATTTGCTCAGAGTGGCCATTTGTTTTCCTGCAAATCCTGATGCATGCTGCCCCTCTCTGTAGGGAGCCACCGGAGAGGAGTTTATAGTG